TTTTTTTTTTGATAGACAATAACTTTATTTATCGTGCACTGTCGGCTTCACAACTTTGCAGATTTATGTTCACATACTGCTACATGACACACTGCATGAAAGGTAATATTCGAAAAGGCATAATAGGGGCACTTTAAGTCAGAAAAAATCAGTGAATTGACTTGTACCTGAACTTTAAAGACCTAGGATTCTACCACGACAATAGTCTTAAACGAAATAAATTAATGCTGTAGTTAGTGCCAGTTTTTACCATCTTTGCTGGGTAGCAGAAGTAGTATATGTTTTTAAGCAGGCGAAGTTTTGAAACTATCATCTTTGCTTTTATCTCTACATGATTAGACTTATTGTGTGTCAGGTTACCTCTTTCCTTAATTTCTCCCCTCCAAATGGTGCAGGATGCAGCAGCCCATCCACTCACGGGAACGTGACCATATCACACCAATCCTACGCTTGGTTACCAGTCCAATACCCAACTGATTTAAAAATGCTTTTCTTTGATTATAAAGCTCTTAATTTACCCTCTATCTAATCTGCTTTTTACAGCACTTATAATCCATCTAGACCACTTCAGTCTCGAAACAACTGTCACCTGTTTGTTCCATGATCGAGCCTTCACAGAAAAGCTCCTGCGTTTGCTGAATTAAAATCATTTTTAGAAATGTATCTATTCTTTGTACCTTTTATCTGTCTCATTTTTATTTATTATTTTTCAAATCTATATACAGCCCTTTTGGCCAACCAAGGCTGAGTTTAAATCCACATTCCCAGACAGCACAGTGTAAAGAAACAGAATGACAGCGAAAACACCAAGACTTCAAGAGTGGTATGCTCTTGTTTCGTTATTTAATTTCCGTGAGATTTAAAGTAGCATTGTCAGATTCTTTTAATCATAAACACAAAGTTTCAGTAATTGTAGTTACATCATCTGTAACTGAAAAATCTCTTTGCTATATTAAATGATTCCAGACTCATTTTAACCAGTACATGCAGATATCTATATAATTGCTTGAGAATGTATAGTTAATGTATTTAACTGAAAAGCACTTGGTTATCCTTGGAGTTCAGCGATCCTGAAATGTTGATATTCATGGTTGTGCGGGTGAAGTTGGAGGGTTTGGCTCATTGGTAATCTTTAAATCACAGCAGAACAACACTGGTTCTTGTCCAAGACACAGTTTGTGCTGCCACAGATATAAACGCTCATTTGGCTTCAGCCCAAATGTGAGTTGCTCTTCCTCTTCAGTTGCTTCTTTCCAGCTTTCGTTTTCAGTGCTGACACGTGAACCTCCATATTCTGCAGAAAAGGAGAACTGCAACTTTGCAATTAACTTTGCAAGCTCTGCAGATTCAATCGAGGCTGATGTTTCTATCTTCCAGTTGTGAGTGATCTGGGCCATCTTCTCCTTATTGTATCCAACCTTTTTAGTGATCTTCTTTTGCCATGTCACTGGTGTAGTGCTGTCATTAGTTATCGTTTTAATATTCTCCCACATGCCAATGGCTGGGCCTTTAGTTACAGACAGCCCACCAGGAAGGAAGTTAAGAACATCAGGATGAACAGAATAAACAGCAGTGCGCTCGTCTGTGCCGAGATCAGGACCGTGGTAGAACTCAACACCCCACTCTGAGGCAGGCTTGAGGAAGGAGAAGCCAGTTTGCTTGGAGGATGGTGGGCCCCAGTAATACAGACCGTCTCTGTGGTTGGGATGCAGCTTGAGTTCTTCAGCATCCGAGTCTTTAGTCATGTTTGTTGTTCTTCGGTAAGTGCCTTTTCCTTGGAAGATGATGTAAAAATAGCCATGGGCTGCGAAGTACTGGTCTCCACCCTGGCATTTGGGATGAAGGCTGTAAACTACAGCATCGCTGTCTGTCGTCAGGTTTGTGACTCTGCGGCAGGAATTGCCATTGATGATGTTAAAGTAGCTATCTCCACCAATGTAATGGTCTCCATTTTGGCAGGCAGGGTGCAGACTGAAAACAGAGATATCTGCACCTTTATTTAAATCACTTGTCTGCATATAGCAGCCGAGGTCAGAGCGGATTATATAATAGTATTTGTTAATTGCACAGATGTCAGTGCCTTTTGCTTTGCTCCTGGGAATAATGCTGCTCATCGTGCCTGAACCTGTAACACAGAATAAATCAAACATTTAATCAACTGCATGCTGTTATTTTAGTCCTTCAATAGATTGAGCTCAATGATTACTGAAGGGAGATAATTAAAATCCCTTGTCTCTTCAATATATATA